ATTCAAAATTAAATTTCAAGTGAGTGAAGAAGGGTAAGTAGACCATAATAAAACTAATACAGCGACAATGAGCCTAAAAAACAAAATAAAATAAAATGCAATGGGCCAAATGCAAAAACGATGACAAGATAAGCCTCTTTGTGGTTAATACTCTGCCCGTACCAAACAAGCAGATGTAATCAAACCCCGTACCAATCAGTGGTTACGTAGTGCAGAGTTAAAAGCTGAAGCCGAAGATTATATTCTTACTGTACAGGACCAATGCTTGCTAACTAGAAATTAACAAGCACGCATATTGAAAAAATGTTTTAACCCAAAATACAGATTCTTTGATTAATATGCAGAAACTATTGACCATCTTGTATCTATCAGGTTGCACAATATTGGCACCCACTGAATATAAAACTCGGCATGACAGAGTGGTCCAATATCTGCACTGGAAAATATGCAACTTTTACAGAAAGGGAACTGCAGGAAACAGGTAGTATGAACACCACCCAGACCTGTAACAATTTTATGGGACTTTACAATGCACAAAGACTGAACAATCAAAGCTAATCGCCCAAACATCGTGATCAAATACCACAAAAACAGAATATGCTGATTGACATGGCAGTCCCTACATCTGTAGCGTATCTTTGAACACCTTCAAAAAACTATCAAATTACAAGGAATCTTGAATTGGAAATCACAGAAATGTGGCACATGAAGACATCAACAATTCCAATTGTAGCTAGAGATCTGGGTCTGATTAGAAATGATTCCGATAGACTCATTGAAGAGATTTTCTGGTAGCCTATGACTGAAAGAAATAAAAAAAATTGTACTCACAAGTACAACTCACACATTACGAAGAGTTTTATCTATGTAAAATGTGTTTGATCTTTATTTTTTATTTTTTATATTTACAAAAATGATCAGTGGAAAATTTCATGAAGCCATTTCTGAGCTAAGGACTCTGGTTATACGCATACCGCCACATTCAAGTTTACTTTTTTTCACATGGGCATGTGCGTGAACACCCATATTTGCAGATACTTAGTAAATACTATATCGACTGATTTAATAAATTCTGTTATTAAATATCAAATCTTTCCATAATCTTTTTTTAAATACTTGATTTCTTATTCGCAATTAGAACAATAATTTTTGTTCAAGTGTTAAATCTAATATTTCAATGGTTTTCTAGTAATGAGGATTTACATTAAAAGAGTATCCTTCTTATAACCTTAAGTTACCTCACTTAACCTTCAGCTCTTGTCACAATATTAGTCTTTCGATAGGAAGTGTCGGAACCATACTCGTAGTAATTTAATATTACTAATTTCTGTTAATTGTGAAATATCAATTAACAATGATTATTTAGAATATTATCACAAAATAAAATTAAAACGCACTCACTCATAAATTATTTGTACACCTCGTATGACATAGCATTCTAACAAGAAAAAAACAAAGCAACAGTCACAGTTATATTTTAGTGCTGACTGCATTTGAACTTAGCTATACATAGGTAATGTCTCACTTCTTATCGCTACCCACTGACTTTACGCTACTCCACTTCCCCACGGTTTCGCTTTTGTTTCTTTCTGCTCTAATAAATTAAACATTTCTGGTAATCTGTTGCATTGAAAATGGGAGAAAGGGATTATAATTGGTCAGGAATTGAAGCAAATATTATTGATAAATAAGGCTATTAATATAAATGTATTTTTAATGGTTTCACTATAAAAATACATTGCAGATAATTCTATAGAAATGCATTGTAAATAAAAATCAAGACGTACCAAATCCATTTTTGCCACCCAACGTTTCATTTAGAAGCAAATTAATAATTTTTATGAATTATGTAAGAACGAGAAAATGTATTTTTATTTCTTTCTATTTTACCTATATTTTCTTTTTTTCTTTTTTTTTTTTTTGTTGTTGCTATAAACACGTTTGTTTATGTATACAGCCTATATTTCTTTTTACTGCAAAGCACACAATTCAAAGCTCGAGAGCCATTCAAATCAGAAGATTACTGAATGAGATGCGTAATATGCATATAAGAGGAGGTGGTAGGAAGTGAAGATTATGATAGTAAGAAGGATAGATAATGATTGACCTTTGAAATGAAGAAGTTCAGCTTATAGGTTCAAGGTAGTATCCACTCGGGTGTGTTTCAGAAACTAACAGATCTTGAAGAAAAACTGAGTGGAACTTCCTACTTACGGAGAACACGGAGGCAATGATTTGAGACTAATCAACGTTTATCGGCGAGATCAAATTCTATTACATTCACTTTGTATTAATGGAAAAGGCATGGATCCATCTCTTCTCCACCCTCAAGTTGCTCCTCATTGGAGGAGGTGGAGGTCAACGAGGGTAGTACTCATAAAAGATAACGATATTTTCTTTTTATATATGAATCGGTACTTCTGGTTTGGTAAACTATACAGGTACAACAGTAGCGTGCAGTAGGGGGCAGAGGGTACCAGGGTCCCAGATATTCATATCGGGAGGGTATCCAATCAAAGAGTGAAATAAAAAAAATAGTTTTTGAAATTGTCTGTTAACTTCGTTGTACAAGCGCCCTACAGTCTCACAGGCTGGTGTGAATGTGGATCAGCGTTTTGATAAGCGAACTCGGAGTAGGACCTCTACTTGAGTCTTAGGGCATACAATCAAGGAGTTGATCAAGGGCATTACCAAACCTCTGCACGTTACCAGTACTTAATTCAATTATTTCTATTGAATTGTTTCGTTATTTTACAAATCAAAAAAGAATTATTTCCTTTTACGTCACATTATATATAAACATGAAACAAAACAAAAAGAGCAGTGTAGCAGCTTGGTTTTTTTTTGTTGTTATAGTAACTCCGAGTGGAGAGGGCGCGTGTTAACACAAACAACGGAGAATTTAATTATCAGAAATAGTTGTGGGTGGTTTCAGGAGCGTTACCGATAAATATATAAAGTGCTATTTTGTTTTATGTGATAGAACCGATTATTTGGAGTCAAGATAACTTTCAAAGCATAACTTTCGAGTACAGAGTAATTTTAGTGTCACAAAAGAAAAAAAAAATATCCCGAAAAGTGAAATTTTTATTTTCTTAGTATTTTGCTGAGTGAATTAGTTTGACGTCATCGGCTGAAAATTTTTCTTTTATGTTGACGCAGACTTGTCGGCACACAAATGAAAAACAATAGTGTGAATAATAAACAAAGCATGTCTCTATTTTGTTTTTCTTTTTTTTTTATTTAAATGAATGTTTATAATCGAGGCGAACTAAACAAGGAAGACCTTACTGCAAACACCTGTCACATGGTAACAGACAACCGACAATAGCAAGAAAAACGGGGGAAAATTGTAGTCCTGCAGGCACATTCTGTTAGTTTTGAATCTCAAGTAGATTGACACTTTACTTTCAAAACGCGTGCTTTTTAAATACAACTTGATCTCTACTTTGTCAGGGATACTTTTTGAATTAATCAAGTGCAGAGCTGAACACAAGTCTGGCACCAATGTTTATTCACCAACCAAAATAAAATATGATACAAATACATTTTTGAAGAAAACACTGTGTTGCATCAGTCTTCTGTGAAGGAAATATAGCTGTTTTTTATGAAATTACGGAATTACAATTCTTCAGCTCATATTTCTGATTCATGCTGTTTACTTATGGCCTTAGATTGACGGTATGAGTAATAATGGCGAAGGGAAGGGCAAGTGAAATTAACAGAAAAGAAATAGTAGCAAAAAAATTATTATGAAATAATGGATATATAAGTATTTCATCGAGTCTAGAAGAAACCTTAATAGAATGCAGAAAGCACTGGACGGCCGTTTCGTTCTATATTTGGGACTCACTAAAAGAGCGCATGCACTACTGAGAATTGAACCCGGACCGTTACGATGCAAGCTTTCAGTGCTTTTTGCATTTTGTTGAGGTTTCTTCTAGACTCTATGAATTACTTAATTATGATTATCTCAAAATCTTCCTAATAATTTCTATCATTTGTATACTCTTGTTTGAACCGGCTTCTAATGCTCTGGATGGAGCATATTTGGGATAGAAGTCGTGGCCCGTGGGGGCACAGTCGGATGAGTTACCCCACGAAATTTATGAAGAGCGGCACTATATCGAGTTACGTTTTCGTCACCGAGGCCCGTTGGTGCTGTTGGTGTGATGCTTGCCTCGTATCGTAACGGTCCGGGTTCAATTCTCGGGAGTGCACTGCTGATGAGTCTCAAATATAGGACGAATCACTGCATTCTGTTGAGATTTCTTCTAGACTCGATGAATTAATTATGATTATCTCAAAATCCTCCTAATAATTTCTATCACTATATGGGGCACTTTGATGTAATCGTTAGCAAGCTCATCAGAAGTTACACAGATTTTAAAGGTTTCATACATAACAGACAAGAAACTCAGTTTATGAAGAAATTCTAAAATGGCATTGCTGAACTTGTACTTTTTAAAGTCATTATCATTATGCAAAATCCTGATGTCATTTACGAAGGGTTTGTAATTAAACATATGAGGGTATTTATGCTGCAATATATCTACATATTACATAGGAAATAGATATCCCTGGAAAAAAATAAAATAAAATATGTAATATTTTAATTTGTTTAGTCACATCCAGACTTTCATATGAATACAATATATAGCATAAAACTCATTTACATATTTATAAACTGTCATTTGTATACAATTAATTGATTGATCTGTTTTTACGGATTATCAACCTTTTATAGGTTTAGCCGAGACATATTTTTTGATTGTAAGAATTTTTGCTTTTGTTTTTTTTTGTTTTTTTCCGAGTGAATATTGTATTAACAATTTTTGGGAGACAATAATGTTTTTCAAATAAAAGTTCAACTATTTAACACATAGATGAGGTAGAACAGGTGGATACATACCTTTCCCAAACGTATCTGCGCGTAAGTGAATGTAACGAACCCGGCTGAAATCCTAGCTATTATTCTTTACACCACCCGCATATCCAAGCTTACAACTCTTGGTATTCCTAAACGGTCACCCATCTAAGTATTGACCAAACTCCACGTTGTTTAACTTCCGTGATCAGACGAGAACCAGTATTTCAATGTGATGTGGCCGTAAGCCGTTATCTGCATATATCCGTTTTTTTTTTTGTTTTGGTTTTTTTCATATCAACGGATAAAAATGGCCTCAAACGAATTAAATCTAAAGCCTTAAAGAAGACTGTCCTTTATTAGACTAGCGCTACAAAATCACTTTAATTTTCCACACTATCCAAAACAAAATGATTGGAAGGAAAATTCTATCAATATTAGGAAGCGCTATAACATCGAGCAGATTAGAGAAATCTGATTTCCTCCTGTAAAATTGTTTTAATAAAAATATTTTATACTTTTCAAAAGACCATAACATTTAATTGTTCGGCCAATGAAGGCCGAATGCTTCTTGCATGGAAACATTTAATTTTGCCTTTACTATTAGTAATGAAATTAATAATATTTTTAATAAAATAAGTAATGTTTTAAATCATTTAATTAATATGAATTAAATTGTTTTTATTGTTTTTATTTTAATATAATTTTAATAATATTTTATCTGTGCATCTAGACTAAATAATTATTGGTAGCACGAGTTAGGCGAAGTTATTATTTAACTTTGTTAACATTCCAAGGAGATTTAGTAATAAAATAAAGTAATATTTTAATTCATTTAATTTATAGTAAAATAATTTTAAAATGGAAATATATAATCAAAATTTAATGAAATAAATATTATTAAAATTATAATTCATTATGTTGTTATATGATTTATTTTACATTCGATGGAATCATGCTATCAGTATAACACAATTCTTATTAACACAAAAACCGTCCCTAATTGACTAAACACAAAAAGGAAAACGACAAACAGCTGCTCCCATTTACAGGTGTTTAGTAAATGTTGTTAATTGGTTAGAATTTGTGCAACAGTTTGTTTCACCGGGTCAGGCTAAATTGATTGAACCCGAGTTGGCGTAATTAAATTTTGTTCATATATCATAGTTACTTATAGTAAAAAACAAAGGGAAGTAAGCGATGGCTCCAACACACATGATCTTAAAAACGGTGTAAAAAGAAAACAGAGAGCCAAGACTTTTCATAATAGATGACGAGGTAGAGAAATGTGCAACCCGTATGTAAGAAAAATATTGTTAAATATCAAACATCGACTTTATTTATTGTTCAATAACAACGAAACATGACATGGTGGCAGCTACACGTCACATTGAAGAAATACTAAAGGATCAAATCTTAGAAAAAAAAAGGAGAAAAATGGCGAACGTTACACCCATGGATTTTTACCTAAGAATGAATTAGGAAGCTGACGACATCATTGAAGCATTTAGGAAATTCAGACAAAAATGCGAGTTGATATTTAAAAGTTTCCTCAATGGAACAACGGACGAAGAAAAGGTTAGCTATGTACTGCTATGGACCGACGAAAAAGAGGTCTGGATTTATATAATTCATTAAGATCTCAGCGTCGAAGATGGTGGCAAGCCAGACAAAATATTTGAAAAATTCGGTACAACACCTTGAACCACATTCAAACTACAGAATACACAGGTACGGATTCCAGAGGTTAAAGCAAGATATTGAAGAACCCACTGACAATTTTTTATCCAGAATGAAAAACGTCGCTAAAAATGTAAGTTCAAAGACATAGAAGAAATGATCGTTGACGAGCTGATATGGGAATGCGAACACCCGAAGTGCAAAAGTCACTTATTGGAAAAGATAAATTAAAACTAACTGATGCAGCAGACACTGCTAGGGCATTTGAAGCCATAAATAAGCAGATGAACTCCCTAAATCTGCAGAATACAAATATATCACAAAACAGCGAAAGGGTTGACACTTTTACAAAGCAAAAACAATTCAAACGAAATAAAACACATTTAAAACCAAATCCGCGTAGAATACACGAATTCGATGATAGGAGAAATGTCCTGTTTTTGAATCAATATGTAAAGCTTGTGGCAAAATGAACCACTGAGAGAAATTGTGTAGAGCCCAGACAAACAAACAAAATAAAAATAAAATCGACTCCATCGAATATGATGAATCGGAAGACCACACACTTGACATAGATACAATTCACTTACATGAAATGACAGAAAAAAAGAATACAATAGAAAAGAACTACACACAACACTCCAAATTTATACAGGAAGATTTTTCAAACTTATACAGGAATATTTTCCCCGAAAACAAAAAACCACTGGCACAAATCTCAATTTTTGAAATAATTTATCTGAAAGTCAAACCCGGGATTGATTTCTGTTTTTTTCCTCAATAGGAGTAGATAGGCTCTCCTATCGCCCGGTCCATACTTCATCCCTTTCTCTTGAACAGGTGTAGAGGTACATCCCTTGTTTCCTGTTTAGGAAGGGGTCCCCGGTTTTTTTTCTTTTCTCAGGCCTTAATAGTGGTGCTGACATGATGTTTTTTGTGATATGTGTGGATGGTGGCAACGGCTCTTCATACTGAGGCTACCAGGTTGGCAGTTTTCTGGTTGCTGCCCCCGACTGGTAGTTGGAAGCCTGTAGAGTCTTGAGAGGCTGCTCTGATCAACAGTTGCATAATATCGGGGTTCTTTCAGTGCCATATCGCGCATGGAAATGTGTCTTTGCAAGCACTTCCGGTAGGAAACCCCGAGGCCACACTATGTTGCAGTCTGTCCCAGTTCCTCTCCTATACATGTTGCATTAGATGACCGACTGCTACTACTAGCCGAGGCATTTCATTACCAATATAACACAACATGACTATAAGCAACCAAAGATATAAACCTAAACAATCTCAACAAAAAACACCTAAACCCCTTAACCTTTCTTTCTCCAATCACTCAATATCTCACGCAAGTGGTTGACTTCCCCATGCGTTCCCCCAGTAACCCTGACCGAAACGCTTCTTTTCTCGATCTCTTTTTTACCTCTATCCCTGACTCTTGTACTACGCAGTTCTGCCCTCTTGGCAACTATGATCACGCAGTAATGTCTGTAAACATCTTCCGCCCCCACCACTAGCCATGAACCTCCTACCAACAGAATATCTTTCTGTTATCAACGAGCAGATTGGGACTCGTACCGTGATTTCCTTCGTGACGTCCCTTGGAATGAAGATTGTAATCATCCTGTTAAAAAATGCGCGTCTGAGGTCCCCTGAGTGAAAGCCGGCATCGAGGCTTTCATTCCAGCAAGCAAATACCTAGTTAAACAGCGTTCATCTTCGTTATCTCCTGCTTGATCGGTCACTATAGTCTACAGGAATCACTTCTTCCGGCTGTACCAGAGCGACACGTTTGATTGCAACAGACGTCTTTTTTCTCTGCTCGTAAGGAGTGCAAGCGTGTCCACAATGAAGCGAACTTACTGTTTTCTGATAGAATGAAACAACGTATAGCATCTCGCAAGTTCGGTTCAAGAGATTATTGGCGGCTCTGCAAGAGTATGATGAATAAAAGCAAATTCTCAATCCCTCCTCTATTCAATCAATTCGAATTCCTGATATCTACAGCAGATAAGGTTGAATACTTTACTCGGAAATTCTCTTCTAATTCAACACTCGACTCACGACCTACTTTCTAACAAACAATATGGATTCCGCTTTGCCTGGTCTACCGCTGACGTACATCCGGCCATTACTGAATATGTATATCAAGTTCTTGATAAGGGCGAAACTCCAGCTGTGGATCCAGATATCTCAAAGGCGTTTGACAGGGTTTGGCATGCTGGTCTTCTACTAAGCTTCAGGACTACAGTATTACAGGACGATTGTTTGATTTAATTAAATCATTCCCATCAAATTGTGAAATGAAGGTTGTTCTGAACGGGCTTACTTCCAGATTCTTTCACACGAACGCGAGTGTCCCCCGAGGCTCTATCCTGGACCTTCGCTGTTTCTGGTTTTCATCAATGATCTCCCTGATGTCATCAGTTTTCAAGTAGGCATCTATGCAAATGACACTACCATTTACTCCTGTCTCAACAGCAAATCCGTCAGAGCTGACAAAATTAACCTGGCCTCTGCTCTTGAAAAGTACCTCTAATCAGTGGTTAACTGGAGCAGGAAATGCCTCCAAAACCAAACTGCTCTCTGTGACACTATTTATCTATGGTAATTGGCTAACTGATTAACCATAGAAATTAAAAACGGGAAATACTTAAGGCGAGAAAGAGGTATATCGAAAGATAGACTGAGCGACATTAAAAAGAAGAATTTATTTTATTTACAAAAAAAGATACTTTTCGCAAAAGACAGAAAATCCGTAAGAAAAAGCGAGACTGTGATTCTGTCAAAATTAATTAATGTCACGATAAGGGGGTGACGCGCCAAACGAAACAGAATTCTGAAAGAAAAACAAAGCCACCCAACGCATGTGACCATAAAAAGAATTTCAGCTTGAGACCACCACGGAGAATAGGTATTAATTATCTTTCAGAGATACCATTTAACTTTATTTCCTGGTTCCAGCGAAGGAAGCCATCTGGTATATCCCCAATCTGACATCAGAAGGAAAATCGAAAAGGGGATCATTATTACTACTTATTCAAACGGTTGACGTCAGACATAGCGTCTCGAAAATGAGCATCTGGTGATAAGAGAATTTTAAGACATGAGAAAAATAAAGAATTCAATTATCAGGTAAACACGACCACCCAGTTGAAGGTTGACTGGCGGAGAACCGAATGTCGGGTTTTTTGACAATGATTAATGAGTCAGTAGAGGTCCGAGCTAAATGGATTTGGGATGTGATAAAGAATTAATTGGCAATCTGGGATTTGTAAATGTTTTGACCGAAGGAAAAGGAAAAAAGAAAAAAAAGAATTTTGTAAACAAAATTCTGGAATAATTCTAAGAGGGTCGGTCTAGCTACACCCACACTGCCGAGAGATCATTGGCTAAGTGGTAGCATGGGTGAATGTATGAGAAAAATGGAGAAGTTATTAACGCCCACTGATAGGATTGGTATGAGATACCAATGTGAGAGAGGAAGAGTCTAGGAGGATAACTCTCCTCCGACCTTCCCTCGCGGACGAGGGAGGAAACCCGAAGTGGAAAGCGATTAATCTTCCAAAA